GGCCAGTCGCCTTCTTTCTCACCCTGGACCACTGAGATGCTGTCCGTGTCTGCACACTCAGCCCCATGCACCACCCGGCCCCTGGCTCACGGGCTCCTGCCCAGGAACCCTCCCTGGATTGGCTCCTTCCATCCAGGCCCCAGTCCAATCGTTAGTACCCATTGTGTGCTGACTTTTTTCGTTTGAAGAAACTATTCACATTTGTTCCAACAGGCACACCTCGTTTTACCAGGCTTCCATTTATTGCACTTCGCAGATGCGGTGTTTTTTACACATTGAAGGTTTGTGGCACCCCTGCGTCGAGCAAATCTCTTGGTGCCATTTTTTCCAACAGCACTGGCTCGCTTCACATCTCTGTGTCACATTTTGGTCTTTAAAATATTTCAAAAACAACAACAAAAAAAATTATGATTCACTGAAGGATCAGGTGATGGTTAGCATTTTTTTGGCAACAGAGTTTTTTTAATTAAGGCGTGTACTTTGAGGGTTTTTTTAGACACAATAATATTGCACACTTAATAGACTGTTATAGTGTAAATATAACTTTCATATGCACTGGGAAACAAAAAAATACCTATGTCTCGGGCTTCCTTGGTGACTCAGTGGTAAAGAATCTGCCTGCCAATGCAGGAGACATGGGTTCTCTCCCTGGTCTGGGAAGATCCCACAAGCTAAGGAGCAACTAAGGCTGTATACCCCAACTATTGAGCCTGTGCTCTAGAGCCCAAGAGCCTCAACTACTGAAGCCCACGTACCCTAGAGCCCGTGGTCCACAACAAGAGAAACCATGGCAATGAGAAGCCCGTGCACCGCAAGTAGAGAAAAGCCAGCATAGCAACAAAGACCCAGTGCAGTCAAAAATCAAATAAATAAATAATTTTTTAAAAATGCGTGTGACTCATTTTATTGCAATATTCACTTTATTGCAGTGGTCTACAACCAAATTTACAGTATCTCCAAGGTATGATTGTATCTACCAAAAGAAACTCTGAAAACTTCTTTAAAAACTAAGAACAATGATTACTGGGACAGGGAACCAGGCAGATAGGAAGTCTATTCTGGACTTTGAACCACATAAATGTCTTATATATTCACCCAAAAATAGTCTAAATAAACGGACGGATACTTCTTTTAAAAGAGTCTCCACTTTTTTCATTGAAAAAAATGAAAAGACAGCTTACTGAGTGAGAGCAAATTTTGCAAATGATGACAAATACGGGGCTAACCAGTCGGTCAATTCAGTTGCTCAGTCATGTCCAACTCTTTGCCACCCCATGGACTGCAGCATGCCAGACTTCCCAGTTCATAACCAACTCCCGGAGCTTGCTCAAATTCATGTCCATAGAGTCGGTGATGCCATCCAACCATCTCATCCTCTGTCATCCCCTTCTCTTCCTGCCTTCAATCTTTCCCAGCATCAGGGTCTTTTCCAGTTCAATATATATATAAGCAGCTCATGCAACCCAACATCAAAAAAAAAAAAAAAACAGATAAAAAATGGGCAGAAGAACTGAATAGACATTTCTCCAGGAGGAAATACAGATGGCCAACAGACACATGAAACTCAACATTGCTAATCATCAGGGAAATGCAAACCAAAACTACCCTGAGATATCACCCCACACCTATCAAAATGGCTATCATCAGAAAGAACACAAATAGCAAATACTGGTGAGGATGTGGAAAAAAGGGAATCCTCTTACACTCTTGGTGGGAATATAAATGGGTGCAGCCACTGCGGAAAGCAATATGGAGGTTTCTGAAAAGAACTACCATATGACCCAGCAATTCCACTCCTGGGTGTACATTGTCCAAAAATGAACACACTAACTTGAAAAGATATATGTATCCCAATGCTCATAGCAGCATTATCTACAATTGCCAAGATATGGAAGCAACCCAAGTGTCCATCAACAGATGGATGAAATTGGTTAGATGAAATAGGTTTCCCAGGTGGTGCTAGTGGTAAAGAACCCACCTGCCAATGCAGGAGGCTTAAGAGATATGGGTTCAATCCCATGGTTGGGAAGATCCCCTGGAGGAGGGCATGGCAATCCACTCCAGTATTATTGCATGGAGAATCCCATGGACAGAAGATCCTGGCAGGATACAGTCCATAGGGTTGCACAAAGTTGGACACAATTGAAGCAAATTAGCATGCACACATGAATACACACACACACACACACACAACACACAACACACAAACTCAGGCATATACCATGGAATACTATGCAGCCATTAAAAAGAATGAAAATTTGCCATTTGCAGCAACTTGGATAGACTTGGAAGACATTATGCTAGGTGAAATGTCAGAAAGAGAAAGACAAATACTGTAAGACATACAGAGTCTAAAAAATATAACAAACTAGTGAATAAAACAAAAAAGAAGTAAACTCACAGATATAGAGAACGAAATAGTGGCTATCAGAGGGGAGAGGAGAAGGAGAGAGGCAATATAAGAGTGAGGGAGAAAGGGGTTATTATGGGATTGTATGAAATCATGTACATGAAACTTGAAAACTGTAAAGCACTACAGAATTTAAAGGTGCTTTCATTCAATTTTTTTAAAAAAGTATGAACTATTACCTAAAATAAAAGTGACCTCAAAACTTGAAAAAAATTTTTAATAAATTAATTTTAGGGAATTCCCTGGCAGTCCAGAGGTTAGGGCTCCAGTTTTCACTGCCAAGGGCCTGGGTTCAATCCCTGGTCAGGGAACTAAGATCCCACAAGCCGTGCAGTGCAGCCAAAAATAAATAAAATATATAAATAAATTTAAATTTTTTTAAATTCCTTTTTTAGAGAGGCTCTCCATGACCAACCTTAATAAACTATCTCCTTTCCATCACTCTCATCCCCTCATCTGCTTTATTTTTATTCATAATCCTGTCATTGACTACCATCATTTTAAATGTGCATTGGCTGATGATTGTATATCCTTCCCATTGAAATGTCACCCTGTTTGCAGGGGACCATATCTTGCCCCAGTGTCAGAAATGTGTCATAGATCCCAGAGGAAAAGAGTGAAAATCATCCCAGAGCTGCTCACCTGCCCAGCTGTGTGCATCTCCACACACTATCCAGGGCTGGTTGATGTCACACCCAGGCTTGAACCTGGCACACCATCGGTGCTCAATAAACGTTTGTTGAGTGAATAAAGAAATGAACGTCTGAAAGAATTTTTAATAGATGGGCACATACCATCCAGAGGGACAAGCAAAACCTTTTAAGAGGAAAACACCTAGAAGAGCTACTGGCATAGAGGAGTTAGGCCATATGTGGTAGTGACTAGAACTATACTAAATTGTACATGACTTACCTGAGTCTCTTTCTTTGAGCAGAAAGAAGACAGCCCTGAGAAGATTGAGAGGAAGCAGTTCCAGAGACCCAAAAGTCTTCTTTGGAGTTTTTCTCCAATGATTGTATCATTTCCTTTTCCTTTTCAAATATCGTGTGTTGGTGAGGGCCTCTGCTTGCCTTCTCCCCTCCCTGCCGTAGGACATCTAGACAGGAGCCCCCATCAGAGAACTACAGCTTCAGATTCATGATCAGGAACCCACAGCCCCCACAAGGGACAAAGGGGCCACACTTAGGTGTTGGGGACTAGGAGAGCAGGGGGTGACCGTCTCTTACTCCCCATCCACCCCCAGGGCCCCTCCAGGCCCTACTCCTAGCTGCCTTGAGAGGCTACAAATGTGCAGTGGAAGGACCTTGACTTCTAGAATGTGGATCCTGTCCCAGCTCTCGACCTTCCAGTACATTCTATGCCTCAGTCATCTTACCCACTATTGGATATGTCTGATTTTATTTCACCCCCACATCTTTGGGAAACAATTGTGCTATTGCCCCACTTCACAGCTGGGGAGGTTGAGACCAGAGAATCGCTTGCCCCCACATTATAAGAGTGTCCTAAGCCAGGAGTCCCTCCCAGCTGATCTGTGCTCCCATCCCCTACCACGCTGCCTTAGGCAGGTGCTCCGACCAGGGATCCTCAGTTTCCCTATCAGGAAAATGAGGAAGATGGAGGCTCCTCTTCAAGTTTATTGTGAACACCGAGTCACTTGAAAAATGACTCACGGAAGCGTTTGACCCAGGAGGGGCTCGTCAAACGTCTCCTTCCCTCCCATGGGAAGCCTTGCATCCGCTCCCATGGACGACAGCCTTGGACGTACGGCTTCTTCCGTTTCCCGTGGGAGTGGGATGAGGGTGTGGGGAGGCACAGATGGAGGACGGCTGGGAGGACCTGCAGGGGCGCTGTGCCCACCAAGCCCGGCGTGGGGAGGGGCTGGGGCTGACAGCCCACGTGCCAGGACCCTGGACCCCCTCCGCACCTGTCCCCACAGTACGTGGTGCCTGCTGCCGTCCGCGCTCCACAGGGCTGTGAGGATCTGGCAAAGGAAACTAGACAGAGAGGAGACAGTAGCCCCCTCCCAGCTTTTGTCTCTTTGCAGCGCTGATTTTTGGTGGGTTTCTTTTCTTTTTTTTTTTTAAATCCAGCCACACTGTGGTCCCATCCGGGGCCCCCTGCCTCCTCCCATCTCCTCACTGGTGGCTGTCACACGATAGACATTTTTAGTGGTGACAGCTGGCCTTGTGGAACTCGGCTCCAGTATGGGAATGGTTTTTTAAAAAACGAGCGAGCCAAACCACCGTCACTTTAAATAGCACTGCCTGGGGAGGAGAGGCGGGGAAACACGTGCAGGCAGGAGCTCCGTGTCCCCACGTCCCCACGTCCCCACGTAGGGCTGGGCTTCCACACGCAGCAGCATCGCTGGAGGCAGGTCCAAGCCGCCAAGACCTCAGAACCCCTGGCCCACCACCCCCTCTGCATTTGACTAAGGGAGAAACTGAGGTCCAGAGCCGGAGGACGTCACACCCAGGATCACAGGCGCTTGGGGTTGGCGCGGTGTGTGTGCGCGGGCGCGCGTGCTGGTCTGGCGCCACACCCTTCACTGTGACAAGACTCTGCCTCCCGATGCCCCCTGTCCTTCCCTGACTTTGAAGACAACCCACTGCAATGGACGTGACTGGGGACCGCTGCTGAGACCAGTGTTCCCAGACTGAGCCACCATGAAAGCAAAGCCCCTGCCACCCTGCCCGGGAACCTAGAACAGGCTGGACCTCAGTTAACATCTGTAAAGGAAAGTCAGGTCCAGGCTTGGATTCCCAGGGGTCCACAAGCCTCCCGGGAACCCTTCCTCCTTGTAACTGCAGGGATCTGAAGCCTGTGGCCTCCCCTTGGCCCCGTCCAACGCCAAGTCCTGTCACGTCTGTCCCCGCCACATTCCCTTCGGTAGTGTGAAACTGACCACCACGGGCCACCGACATCACAGAATGGACAGATGCCACCACCACTTCACACACAGACTCTGCGCTTCTGCTCCAAGCCCAGGAGACCTGGGCTCCAATCTCACCTCTTCTCCTCCTTGCTGTGGGCCGGGCAGTTCATGCCACCCTGAGCCTCCGTCAGCATCTTTGTGGGTGAGGATAAGACTATCTGTGGACCTGACTGTGAGAATCAATCACAAAATGCACGTAGCGCCCAGAGCCCAGCACGTGCCTCAGTAGGTGGCGGCCGCTCATAGTTACTAAGGCGAAACAGTCCCTTGCCCCTTCACCACCCAGGTCACCCCTCTCTGGACATCTGCCCTTTGCTCTGACACCCTTGCGGGGCAGCCGATGCCCAGCACAGAGTAGACGAGGTACACGCCCTTCCTTGTTCCAGAGACCGCGCTGCTCCTAGTGTCCCCTGAGGCCGAATCCCCCAGGCTTCCCCACCCCTGCGCTTTCCTGCCGCGTTCTCTCCGTGACACTTACCTTCAATGCCGTGTTGGTTGGTTTCACGTGCATCTCCCCACCACCGACACAATGGGGCTCCATGAGGGCAAAGGGTTTGCTACAGCATTCAGAGCCCTGCCTGGCACACCCTGGGAATTTAATACACAACCATGAGGCTTGATGGGGCTTCCCTGGTAGCTCAGCTGGTAAAGAAACTGCCTGCAATGCAGGACACCCCGGTTCAATTCCTGGATCGGGAAGATCCCCTGGAGAAGGGATAGGCTACCCACTCCTGTATTCTTGCCTGGAGAATTCCATGGACAGACAAGCCTGGCAGGCTACAGTCCATGGAGTCACAAAGAGTCAAACACAACTGAGAGAATTTCACTCACTCATGAGGCTCTAATGTGGCCCTGGGGGCATCTCAGTTAACTGACAGCTTCTCCCTGTCTCATCCAGAACAACCTGGGCAGTCATGGGAGATGTTAAAAATTAGAGAAAGGAAGCATGAAGTGAAAGGGAGAAGTGAGAGAACAACTCTCGCATAGCAAGAGCGAACCTTTCTATCCTAGGAAACTTGGTTTAAATACAAACCTCCACATGCTCTCCTCTGCTGACCTACTGGGTGTCTCTCATTTGATCTGAAAACAGGCTGGGAGGTGAATTTTTTTTTTTTTTTACCATCTCTTTACCTGATTTAACAGAGGACACTGAGGCTCAGAGAGCCTTGGACACTTGCCCAAGGTCACAAAGCACGAAATGTGAGACTTAGAATTCTAACCCAGCTCTGACCCTAGAGCCTAAACTCTTGCTATTAGTAACCTATTGACCGTCTTCAGCCCTGCCCAAGAGTCATCCTGCATCAGGGCAAAGAGAGAATCCTCTTCACCATAAGGAAGATTCGGAAATTAAACAGGTTGGGGACTTCCCTGGCAGTCCAGTGGTGAAGACTCCATCCCTGGTCAGGGAACTAAGATCCCACATGCCATGGAGTGTGGCCAAATTTTTCTTTTAATTAAAAAATTAAACAGGCTGTTATGTAAAGCAGGGAGCTCACCATCATTAGTTTTCACGCAGAGGCTTAGCAACCCCCAGAGATGGACAGGATGCCAGGGTTCCTCTACTGGGTGTGAGAGTGGGTGTCAACTAGAGGGACTTTAGGATCTCGATGCTGACTTTTTGATTCTGTGATCTATACCACAAACTGTGACCTGTGGGTCTGTGCTTCCATAAGCAACACAGTTACTCTATGTTTCAAGGCTTAGAAAAGAAAAAACTAACCCAAAGGGTTAAAAAAATGTACTAGCATATCATGTCATAAACTGAGAAACATAGTTATTTTTACCTAAGAAAAATTTTTGTTAATATCTAATATTTCATGGAGTTAATACATGCCAGACTATAACAATTATTTTACTATATCAAGTTATTTAAACATATTAGCCCATTTAATCCACACTACAATCCTGTGTAGTGTTTCCTATGATCATACATGTGGATTAGTCAGCTTTCTCCTTCAATCCTGCTGTGTAACAAACTGCCCCACCAATCTAGAGGCTTGCCACAATTTCTCTTCCTCTCTCATAGCCCTGTGGGTCAACCTGGGTGACAGTGCTTCATTCTGTGGGTCAGCTTGATTTAGCTTCAGTCCACGGGTCAGATTCAGGTCAGCTCCATGAGTGTCTCCTTCTAGAACCATCAGCTATGTGGGACATTTTGCCTTGTAGCACATGGCGGAAGCTCAGGCAGCCAAGCCCCAAACTCAACCATTTATCAAGCTGGTGCTTTCATCACATCCACTATGACCAACCTAGACAGCATATTAAAAAGCAAAGACATTACTTTGCCAACAAAGGTCCGTCTAGTCAAGGCTATGGTTTTTCCAGTGGCCATGTATGGATGTGAGAGCTGGACTATAAAGAAAGCTGAGCACCAAAGATTTGATGCTTTTGAACTGTGATGTTGAAGACTCTTGAGAGTCCCTTGAACTGCAAGGAGACCCAACCAGTCCATCCTAAAGGAAATCAGTCCTGGGTGTTCATTGGAAGGACTGATGTTGAAGCTGAAACTCCAATACTTCGGCCACAAAGCGAAAGAGCTGACTCATTGGAAAAGACCCTGATGCTGGGAAAGATTGAGGGCAGGAGGAGAAGGGGACAACAGAGGATGAGATGGTTGGATGGCGTCACCGACTCAANAAAGGCAAAGAGCTGACTCATTGGAAAAGACCCTGATGCTGGGAAAGATTGAGGGCAGGAGGAGAAGGGGACAACAGAGGATGAGATGGTTGGATGGCGTCACCGACTCAACGGACATGGGTTTGGGTGGACTCGGGGAGTTGGTGATGGACAGGGAGGCCTGGCGTGCTGCGATTCATGGGGTCACGAAGAGTCGGACATGACTGAGCGACTGAACTGAACTAAGTCAAACTGGCCAAGGCAAGTCACATGGCCGAGCCCACACTTCAGCGGGCTGGGGATTATACTCTGGCGACTGCAGTTGGGAGGTATACCACAAACTCACATAGCAAAGAGCATGGACATGTCATCCTGTTACAGGAGGGAATGAAAATTTGAGAATAATATCCAATCTACCCCCAAGAGGTGTCACAGGTGAGAACCCAGCCTCACCTAATGACACAAGTGACCCAAGGTCACATGGCTGGTAACTGGAATTCCAATCGAGATTCTGAACTAGGTTGTCTGACAGCGAAGCTCTCCACTCCCACAGGCTGTAGGGCAAGTACCTGATACGTACTAGGTGCTCCATAAATTATCTGTTCACTGTTAAGGTATGCACTTCAAATGGATGCAGTTTATTGCACATCAATTATAGTCAATGAAACTGATGAACTGTCTTTAAGAAGAAAATTTAAAGAACAAGAGAGAAATGATCAGTCGATGCCTGGCGCATCGATGCTAGTTTCTGGCGCGAGACTTGGTTTTGAAGAATGTCAGCTAAGGACTGGAGCTCAGCTTCCACAGTGAGAACCAGGAAGCCTCTGTGATGTTCGTAAGGGGCTGTTCACGGGGGAGGTCAGGCCTCCACGGTGAGGCTGCCCTGGAGAAGAGGCCAAAGAAGCTCTCATTCTTCAGAACCAAAGGTTGAGAGCGAGCAACTATAGTCAGCCTGAACATCGAGGAGGTAAGGAGAGAGATGGGTGCACTGCTTGCTGGGATCTGCCCCAAACATCCCTTGCACTGAACCAAAGAGGGTGATGGCCCAGACTCAGCCAGTGAGCTGGGGTGGTCTGCCAGATGCAGGGGACAGGACCAAGGCTGTGGCCCAACGTCAATCCCGGCACTACATCTGCCCTTGCACCCCCTGGGTTGCAGAAGTGACCAAGGGTGACCACAGTGAGGATGGAGCCCTTGCCCAGAAAGGGCCCTTTGCCTTGCAACCCAGAATTTGGGTCCCACGTTGCCGCAGAGTCCCAGATTCCTCCTTAGTTAAAAATAAGAGGGCAGGAGAGGAGGTGGTAAAAGATGGTAAATAAAGGGAAAGGTTGGACCATCTGTTCTACCTGTCCAAGCAAACTGTATCACCTGGTGCCCAAACGTGGATGAGGAACATCCCAGCTAATTGGTGAAGCCAGGAGAGTGCTGGGCTAGCTGCACTGGGTGGCCCCCTGTGATTTAATGGGTCTGGACCATGATGGGCAACCGGCTGCAAACCTCCCCAAACCAGAAACCAGAGGGTATCGTGCCCAGCGGGGAAACATGCCACCACTGTGAAGTCATCTTACTAAAAACAGCGAACTCAAATCTGGAAGAGCCTCAGACCCAAATACCAATTTACAGAAAATACAAGAGCGGAGAAACAGGTTAGAAACTGTCACGGAGACGTAGTCGGCAAGATCCAGATCAAGGGGAACTCTTCATGACAAATATATCGCAAGGAAAACAAGACTCAGAGAGCCTATTTAAGAACAGATTAAAAACACTTGTCAATTTCAGTGTGTAGTCCTTATTTAGATGCTGATTCAAATGAAAATAATCACATATGAATGCATGTTGCATATATATTTTCACATATTAAATACATAAATATAAGTATACATTAAATATCTAATATAAGAATACCCTAAATATCATATTAAATAGATAAGTGTTTATATGTTTAACATAAATTGAGACCACTGGAAATGTGATGACACCGTGTGTTTTATGTGTATAATTAGGTATGAAATATATTTACACTTAGAAACGTGATTATTTGATTTGAGGTTTTTAGGTGTTAGAGTGATAGGTTACAATTTTTTCTTTTTTAATTAATTTTTAATGGAGTATAGTTGCTTTACATGTTGTGTTATTTTCTACTGTACAGCAAATTGAACCAGCTATACATATATATGTGTGCATGTGTGTGTGTGTGTGTGTATATATATATATATATATATATATCCCCTCTTTTTTGGACTTCCTTCCCATTTCTCACCACAGAGCACTGCGTAGCATTCCCTGAGCTGTACCGTAGGTTCTCATTAGTATCATTAGTAATCTATTTTGTAATAGTAGTGTATATATGTAATCCCCATCCCCCAGTTCAACCTATCCCACTTTCCCCCCTTGAGGTCCACACGTTTGTTTTCTCCTTCCATGTCTCTTGATGGGCCCCGTGTTCCTCAGTTGGTAAAAGCATCTGCCTGCAATGTGGGAGACCTGGGTTCAATTCCTGAGTCGGGAAGATCCCCTGGAGAAGGA